ACCCTCTGACCGGCCTGACCGCTTCTGGAGGGGCTCCTGGTGTCACCCCCACTTCTCCGCTGCAGAGACAGACCGCAGTGATGGCAGTTTCTGTACTAGCTGTTAGAAGGCGGGTCCCGTCTTCAGAGGTGGGCTCAGGTCTCGGCGGGTGGCGTGGCTTCCAGGGGCGGGGCAGCAAGAGGAGAAGCATGTGGGGACATGTCTGGCTTCACTGTCACCAAGAATAACTTAGAGAGGGTCTTGTCTGGTTCCCGGCCCCACAGTGAGGTGTCAGTTGTGACTGTCCCCCTTGGGCAGGCTGTGTCCAGCTCCTCCAGGACATATTTGTATTACTGTGTCCCCCAAAATGTTCCCCAGTCTTGACACGTGGTACCAGCGCAGGGTTCCCTATTTCGAAGTAGGATCTATTTCTAGAGGGGATTGACACAGTGGACAGACGCAGCACCACGTGTGAGGAGGGCGGCACAGGTCTGGCTGGTGGCTCCTGTTGGGCAGAGGGTCACTCTGAGTCAGAGCCGACTCAGTGGGTCCTCCCAGCAACAGTGACCACAGCAGAGGTCATGCTTCACCTAAGGCCCGACTGGAGTCGAGCCAAACCATACCCACTGTCACTGAGTCCCTTCTGACTCGCAGCGACCCTCCAGGACAGGGTAGGAACCACCCACCCCTGCAGGTTTCTGAGACGGCCACTCTTGACAGGAGTAGAAAGCCTCGTCTTCCAAGGGGATGCTGGCGGTTTCAAACTGCCGACCTTTCCGTTCGCAGCCCAATGCATAACCCCTCTGCCACCAGGGCGCCTGCAGGCTGGTGTAGCCTGGGTCCTGATCTGTATGGCCAGTGTCCAGTAAGAAGGAGAGACTCAGAGATGGAGGGGCAGTGCCCATTGACCATGGAGGTGGCGAACGGAGTGATGCAGCCAGGAGCCCAGGAACTCCCGGGGCCTCCAGGGGCTCCCAGGGCCCACAGCGGGGGTGGGGGTGGCAGTGGTGGCAGCACTGGAACAAGCCCCCAAACAAACTCCCTGCCACCGAGTTGATGCCAACTCACAGTGACCCTATAGGACAGGGTAGAACTGCTCATGTAAGTTTCCATGACTATAATGCTTAACAGGAGTAGAAAGCCTCATCTTTCTCCTTCAGAGCAGCTGGTGGTTTTGAACTGCTGACCTTGCAGTCAGCCCAACCTGTAACCCACTAGACCACTAGGATTCCTAGTGGAACAATCCAGGGGAGCTTCAAAGGTAGTTTCCTACACTTTATCCTCGATCATGCACTATCTTACAAAAGTTTTTTCATGGCTAGAGGAAACCTGGTGGTGTAGTGGTTACGTGTTGGGCTGCAATCCACAAGGTCAGCAGTTCGAAACCACCAGCCTCTCCTTGGGAGAGGAATGAGGCTTTCCACTCCCATAGAGTTTTGGCCTTGGAAACCCACAGGGGCAGTCCTACTCTGTCCTACAGGACCGGAGTCAGCGCAATGGCAGAGGGGTTGGTTTTGGCTAAAGGGACGCTGAGTAATGTTTGTTTGTTGTTGTTGTTGTTGTTGTTTTTCTGAAAAGGGGGCAGTGAGCCCCATCAGATGGGAAACCCATATTCTGGAGGCTCCGGGGGACCCTGGCCCTGACCTTGAATTTGGATTTGGGCCCTCCAGAACTGTGGGACTACGATGTGCCTTGTGTTTTCAGGCCACCAAGTTGGTGGCCCAACTGTTAGGATGACCACAGGACATTCAGACACCCCAGCCCCTGGGGGACCTTTGTCACTGCTCCTGTGTCCCCTCTCATGGGGTAGCAGCATGCCCGCCTGCGCATGCCTGGCTCACAGGAGGGACCAGGAAGGGCCTGTGGCCGACCCAGCCTCCCAGCCCTCTCTCTACCTGGGGTTTCAGCACCCTGGGAACTCGAACCCCTGGCACTCTGAGCCATCACTGTAGCTGGGCAGACCACACGCCGACTCATCACTGTGGGGATGAGACTCCCCGGGTGTCTGACATGTCTGCTCCCTCCCACTCCCCCACAGCACCTCCGGATTGAACCAGTGCCCGTGCCCACCTTTGCTTCTTAGGAAAATGCCCCCTGGGGCCCTCTGTCTGCTGCCAGCTGCCCCGCCCCCGTGCCCTGCCGCTGCCTAATAGTGTCTGGATCTGCATCTTTCAGCCACAAGTTTGGGAAGAAAATCACCTACTTCAACTACTTGAGTGAACTCTGGGAGCACCTCAAACCGGACCAGCTGAGCGTCCCCCCGGAAGTGGTCCGGTGAGTCGCCTCCTGAGGGTCAGGAGCTGCCCTTCAGTGTGGGCCCAGCCCAGCCTGGCCTTGCTGATAAGCCTGTCACACTCAGTCCCAACCCGAGCCTGGGCCCTGTCACCCTGCGCGTCAGTCTGTCTGGGGGCTCCACCTGTCCCCGGGAGCAGGAAGGGCACCAGCAGCCCTGCAGCAGGGAGTGGAGGGGGGAGGGGTGCAGAGGTTGGCCCTGCCCATTGTTGGGGAGGCTCCCACCTTGGTGCGCCTGACTTCATGCTGGGTGCAGAGGGTGCAGGGATGTGGAATGTGGCCCCTGTCCTTAGTATGCTCCCAGGCTAGTGAGGCCACCAGACTGGACACAGTGAGGCACACTGGACCCAGATGTGGGGGGGATGGCAATCAGGGAAGGCTTCCTACGGGAAGTGGCTTTTATAAATTAATTTTTGGGGGTGGGAGGGGCAGAAATAAACATAACAAAGCTTTCCCCCATGGAGTAGCTTTTATATATCACAGGAACCCTGGCAGCCGTGGGTTACCAGTTGGACTGCTAACCTCAAGATCAGCAGTACAAAACCACCAGCCAGTCCACTGGAGAAAGATGAGGCTGTCTATGCCCTTAAAGAATTACAGCCTGGGAACCCCCCAGGAGCAGTTCTACCCTGTCTTGTAGGGTCACTGTGAGCCAGCATCGACTCGCCAGCGATCCAGCACCGGCGTTGTCTCATCCACAGGTACGACGAGAAACTCCGGAACCTACACAGCGGCCGCCCTCCCCCTCTCGTCAAGACCCCACCGCCACGCCCACCCCTGCCCACCCAGCAGTTTGGCGTCAGTCTGCAATAGTAAGTGACGCTGGCTGGCAGGCTGCTGGGTCTGGGAAAGGAGTATGTCTTCAGAGCCTGGACCCGCAGCTGAGCTGGCCTCAAGGCAGCTGGAGCCTGCGTGCTGTTTGCTGCTGCACCTGTGTGTGTACGTGGGCCCCCAAGTGCAGACAGCCAGGGGCTTGGGACATCACCAGCTCCCAGACTTTGTCATGGGGTGGCCTCTGTGCCCTCTGGCCACTGCCTTCCAATGGGGCTTTGTCAGAGGAAACCATCTTCTAATCGAAGGGTCCTTAGGCAAAATTGTATGGCGATGATGTGTAAAGATTACAGTAAAGTCATAGAAGATAGAAGAGAGAATAAAATAAAGGAGTTAGACACATTTTATGGTAGCATGCTCACCTCAGCCCCTCTTGGTGGTCCACGTGGAGGTGGGAGAAGAGGGAGGGAGTCTTTACTATCTTGGGATATTTATAGGTGGCCACAAGACATGCATATTCAGTTAGTCACATATGTCACAAGGTGGGTGGCAACTACAGTAAGGTCCCTGAGCTCACAGGTGAGGAAACCTAATACCTGCATTGGGAGAAGGTGAGAGGCGGGCTGGGTGACGCAGCAGGGGGAGATAACAAAAAGATGTCTTCTGCTTCTACAGGGAGATAGAATCAACCATGCGCTCACTTTAAGGCAGTGTAGCTGTTTAGGGAGAATCTGTGGGCACGATACTTAAAGCAGGATAATGTACTTGGATTTTATCTCTAATTTACCAAAGTGGTTGGCTTTCCTGCTGTGGAATACTAGCTTTCCAGATTCCCCATGTTATAAGTTAGGGAATATAGTCCTCGTCATATTTCCCTCTGTTAGTTTTCCCCAGGGCATGATCATATGACACCAAAACAGGTACAGACACCCAGTGACACCCCTCCCCCCCACCCCTTAGGAGGCTCATTGTGGGCGCTCTGTGAAGACAGGGATGAGTGGGCCCAGTGCAGGAGGGGCTGCAAACTGTCCCTGGAAAAATCCCAGCGTCTTTGAATTCCATCTTCCCATGCACTTTAAAATTCTGAAGCAGTTTTGTATTGTGAACTGGGTGAAGGAGAGCAGCAAGCAGGCCAGTTCTCCACTCGGCGATTCCTCCAGGATCTTTTTCACGCCGTGGCCTGCCGGACCTTCTCTCCCCCCGTGTGTCTGGTCTCTGTGCCTCCTCCTGTCCTAAGCAAAGCTGCCCTTCGTTCTCTCATGACTTGAAGCCCCTCCTGTGTTCAGTCCAATGTTTGCACAAGCTCTCTCTGCAGTAACAGTTGTAAGCGGACTCGTTGCAAACTGCAAGGCAGCAGTTCGAAACTGCTGGGGGAAAGATGCAACTCTCTACCCCTGTAAAGAGTGACAGTCTCGTGAACTAAGGGGCAGTTCTAGCCTGTCCTGTAGGGTCACTGTGAGTCAGAATGGGCTCAATGTTGGGAGTTTGGCTTTAGTTTGGGAAATAGTTACAGTCTCAGAAACCCACAGCTCTCCCCTGTCTGCTGGGGGCGCTATGAGTCGGCATGGACCCGATGCCCGTGAATAGAACAATTCTAACACACTAGCTGGCCCTCCCTTCTTCCTCCCCGCACCCCCAGGGAATGTCCTTGCAGTGACCATGGGCCCCTCAAGGTGGCGCCAGTGGGAACATGGCCCAGCCAGCTGCCCACAGTCCAGGTCTCTGGGTCTCTGCATCTTTGCTACCTCCCTGGATGTACCTGTCAGTAGTTTCTTGCCTGAGCGACCTTTCCATCCTCAATCCTAAGTCTGAGGACCCCATAGTGCCTTTTTCGTTGCTCAGAACCACTTCTCTCTCAAGTGCAGAACTGGTGGGCTTGGATAGCCATCCTCAACACTCCCCTCCCCACCCCCCAGCCCCCAACCCCCAAAGCCAAACCTGTGGCCTCCAAGGGAGCTGCAGCTGATGGTGAGGCCATGGGTGGGAGAGAGTGGTTCCCGGGGACTTCCCCTGCTGTGACCTTCACAGGAAGGTCAAGCCCGGCAGCAGGTTCAGGAGCAAGAACTAACAGTCTTTTCCTACCAAAAACCTAATTGTGTGAATTACAGGTGGAAGGAAACATGTACAAAAGTGCTTGACACAATGGATGTATGTGTGGCTTGTGATAAGAGTTGTATAAGCCCCCAGTAAAATGACTTAATTATTTTTTTAAAAAAAATTTTAATGAAAGAAAGTTTAAGCCACTGAAATGTATGCTAAATAAATTATGTGTCAATAAAACCTTTACAATTTAAACAAACCAGAACAACATAAAAAAACAAACAAACCTTGCACGGCAGTCCCACTCTGTCACATGGGGTACACAACACACAGTCAAAGCCAGCTCCTGGAGTGACTGTGTGCAGTGTTTCCACGCCTGTCAACCTTTACCCATCCAGTCAAAGCCAGCTCCTGGAGTGACTGTGTGCAGTGTTTCCACGCCTGTCAACCTTTACCCAGGCAGGTAGCTTTACTGTTCTCCCTTGAAGTAGATGGTGGGTTTGAACCTCTGGCCTGGTGGTTAGCAGCCCAATGCCTCACCCATGGTGCTCCTTGGGCTCCTTTAGCACAGTGTCACTATGTGGGTGGTGGTAGGGGGAGCTACTCTCTGAACCTAAAATCTTCAAGAAGTAGATTGGCAGGTTTTTCTTCTGTTGCACAGCCAGGGGATTGCTGTCGACCTCCAGGTTAGTAGTCTAATGCAAAGTGCTTGCAACATGGAGTCCTGCATTCTGACAGGTGCCCCCCGGACTGTGCAGGTGTGGCATTCAAACACCCGCCCTGTCAGCGTGCAGGTGGAAGACGAGGGTCATCACACCCATTGGGGAGTTTCTGCTTAAACTGTCGCCTCGCCCTGGTTCACGTCCCTGCGTCAGCTGTAGTTGTACACTTCAGTTCTGTGTCTGCAGGCCTCCGTAACCTGACGTGAATTCCGCCAAGGCATTCGACTGTGTGGACCTGACACCCTGCGGACAGCCTCATGCCAGTACAAACTTGCTGGAGATCACCCAGCAACGGTTGCAGCAGTGCATCGACCGGGCGCTGCCAGAGGTTCAGGCCGGATTCAGAAGAGGTCTTGGAACAGGGACATCGTTGCTGATGTCAGATGGATCTTGGCCCAGAGAGATGTTTATGTTTCGTGCACTATTCCAAGGCAGTCTGCTGTGTGGGTCACAATAGACTACGGACAGCCTTGAAAAGAGCAGGAATTCCAGAGCACTCCGTTGTGCTCCCGAGGAACCCTGTACACAGATCAGGAGGCCGTCTGCAAACACAGCAAGGGGATGCTGCGTGGCTGAAGATCAGGCAAGGTGTGTGCCAGAGTTGTCTCCTCTCCCCACACGTGTTCAACCTGTGCGCTGAGCAGATCATCAGAGAAACTCGCTTAGATGAAGAAGAGTGTGGCATCAGGATGGGAGGAAGGCTCATGAACGCCTGCGGTGTGCAGAGGACACAACCTTGCTTGCTGACGGGAGGAGGACTTGAAGCAGTGGCTGATGGGGATCAAGGATGGCCGCCTTCACGGTGGATGACGACTCCGTGTCAGGAAGCCCCAGATCTCACACCCGAGCCAGTAGGTCACATCGTGATGAACGGAGCAAAGGCTGAAGTTGTCAAGGATGCTGTCTTGCTTTGATCCACAATCAGTGCTCATGGAAGCAGCCATCAGGACTTCAAATGACCAAAATTAATGAATTCATTTTTTTATAAAGGAAACCAAGTGTCATATGGCAAGTGTGCTGCACAAAGCTTTTTGGAAGGTGGTGTCACCTGCCTGTCTCGGGCTGCTAATAAATCTTCCTCCCACCCCGGGTGGGAACCTGCGAGGCCACTCTCAGACCCAGGCTTTAACTGCATTGCAGCTCCCAGTGCGCAGCCGCTGCAGCTCTCATGAACGCATTGAGCCCCTCTGAGCCTCCCGCCTGCGCCTCCCTTGCTCTGAGTGCCCTCCAGCAGGCTCCTGTTCATCCCTCAAAGCCCAGCTCACATGATGCCTCCTGAGGAGCCATTCACACCCACAGGCCCACAGGTCCCTGCTGTGTCTCACGGGTCTGCTGGAGCACCCTGAAGTGTCGCTGGGGTCCTGGGCTTTTCCCTGAGTGGGGAGCAGACTTGAACCTAGGCCAGATCAGCCGTCTGTGTGCCCACCTGAGGCCGTTCCCATCTTCTCTCCCGCCCCCAGCCTCAGAGACAAAAATAAAGGCGAGCTCATCCCACCCGTGCTGAGGGCCACTGTGACGTACCTTCGAGAGAAAGGTAAGGAGGGAGCTGAGGGTCCCTGGCGGTATGCCCCTGCTGCCTGTCCATCCTCATCTCAGAATTCACATCTGCCCGCGGTCCATGGTGCAGGCACTGGGCGTGCTGTACCTACTGTGCAGCCTCGGGCCAGTGGCTTGCCTTCTCCGGGTCACAGTTTGCTCCCTGTCCACAGAGGTGGATGGCAGGCTGTGGGGGCCTTCCCTAGGAAACGCAGGCTCTGTGCTTCACCTGCCTGACTCACAGCGGGCAGGGTCCAAGCAGAGCTGTATCCTGTCGGGGGCTCCATGCTGATTTTTAGGGGTGCAGGCAGACCTCGGGGATACCACAGGCTGGTTCCCGCCTGTCACAGTGAAACCAGATGAGCATCTTGGTTTCCGGGTGCTGGAAGGGGTATGTTGACTGGGCCATGGGGACCCACATGTGTGTGGGCTGCCACCCCTTTTTCAGGGGAAATTACTACTCAGCACCCCCACCCCCCACTCTGGCGATGGAAATCTTTTGTGCTGTGATGGCTGGCAAAGCTGGGTGGTGAGCGGGTGATGCCAGCTAGTGGTGCTGATTCTGCCGCCCGGCGGGCTCTGGCCCTGCTCTCGACTGTTAGCTCTGGAATGTGCTGGGTTAGGAAGAAGTTTGCAGTGTGGCGAGGACGACTCAAGGGGGCCTGACGGCCACAGTGACCACCTGCCCTGTAAGACTCGGGGCGAGGGGGGTGGTCACAGCCCATGAACTTGTGCAGAACGCGGAGTTCACGAAAACCAGGTCTGCCTCTCGGTGGCTAGGCCTTTTTCATAGCCACCCTGGGTGAGTTTGAACCTCCCACCTTGCAGTTAGCTGTGTGTGTGTGTGTGTGTGTGTGTGTGTGTCCAGTCCAGTTGGAGGGATTGGGCTGGACTGGGGCTGGAGAGCACCCCCTGCTGGCCACAAGCGTCTGATGCTGCGGCCATTGGATCTTCGTGGAAGCCCAGAGCGTGTGTAGGGGGCCTGTGAGATACCTTCTCCCTCAGGATTGCACACCGAGGGCTTGTTCCGGAGATCGGCCAGCGCTCAGACCATCCGAGAGATTCAGAGGCTCTACAACCAGGGTGAGTTCATTCCCTCGAGAGCCTGGCCCTGCCCTGCCACCCTGCCTGGCCACCCCCACCCGCCGTCCCAGCAACAAGCCCTTGCTAGCATCAGACCAAACAGAAGCCAGCCAGCCACGCCCTGACTGCCTCCACCGAGCGGGCAGGCCAGGGTGGGCATGCTGGTAGGGCACAGCACCCCCTCTTCCAGGTCGTGGACTGTTGTTGGTGGCTGAGGTGACTCCAGCACACGGGTCCCCAGCACAAGCTCTCCCCATGGGTGTGGGTGGAAACAGCAGCCCAGGCCCAGCACTCAGAGGCCCCAGGGCAGGGCGGCCTGTTGTGTCTGTCCCCCCTTGAGATCCCTCGTGCAAGAACTTGCTCCGTGCCCACGGGCTTGGCTCCAGGGTGGCGTTGTGGCTATGCATCGAGGCGCGTCTCAAGGGCAGAGGTTTGAACCCACCAGCGGCTCTGTGGGAGAGCCACGTGGCTGCCTGCCAGCCTCGGGACCCCCGGGAGTAGCCCTGCTCTCACGGAGGGTGGCATCGACTCGGTGGTAGGGAGTTATGTGCGTGGGGGTGGTGCTTCGTCGCCTGCTCACCCCATCCCTTCCTACCATACAGGGAAGCCCGTGGACTTCGACCACTACGGGGACAGCCACGTGCCCGCCGTGATCCTGAAGGCCTTCCTCCGCGAGCTGCCCCAGCCACTGCTGACCTTTGAGGCCTACGAGCTGATTCTGGGGATTACCAGTAAGCACCCCATGGCCCCAGGAACACGTGCCGTGCCCCCCACCCCGAGACTGGGGGCTCTAGGGGTGCAGGGTCTGGTCCACCCCTCGCCCCGCCACACCTACCAAGGACACGTGCCATGCCTCCCACCCCAGGACTGGGGGCTCTAGGGGTGCAGGGTCTGGTCCACTCCCCCCCCCCAACCTACCGAGGGCTGGGGGCCTCCGGGTCCTTCCCCAGCCTGCTAAAGGTCCACTTCACAGGTCCTCAGCCATCCGTACAATTGTTCCTCTAGAGCAGTGATTCTCAACCTTCCTACTGCCGCGACCCTTTCATACAGTTCCTCATGTGGTGACCCCCCCAACCATAAAATTATTTTCATTGTTACTTCATCTGCGAAATTTTACTACTATTATGAATCAGGCAACCCCTGTGAAAGGGTCATTCTACCCCCAAAGGGCTCGCGACCCACAGGTTGAGAACGCTGCTTTAGAGCTAATGGGTGGGTTTGATCCCAACCTTTCAGTTAGCAGTCAAGCCCTTCCCCACTGACCCAGACCAAAAAGACGCAGCTCACTGCCATCGACCACTGCCCCACCGTACTACAAACAGTTAAACCAAACCCGCAGCCGAGGGGACTCCCAGCAACCCTGTAACTGGGATCCCAGCCTGCACATCTGCAGTAGAGAGCCTGTCTCCTTCGGGGCAGCTGGTGTGTTTGAACCGCTGACCTTGTGGCTAGCAGCCCAGGGCCTGACCCTTAGCCCCAACAGAGCTCCTTGTCTGTGACCGATGGCCCACGAGTTGGCGCCAACTCAACCGCACTGCGCTCCGTGTGGTTTCCCCTGGCTGGTGTTTCTGCGGTAGATCGCCAGGCCTTTCTGCTGAGGTGCCCCTGACGGACTTGAGCCTCTGACCGCAGGGTTAGCAGTCGAGCGCATGCTCACTGTTTCTGCCGCCAGGGACTTCTAGCCCACCTGCAGGGGCCCCAGCCGGCTGTGTCCGACTCCCACGGTCCTGGGGGCGGGCCCAGGAATCTGCTTTTCTAAAGGTGCTGAGAGTGGAAGGCTGAGCTGAGGGATTCGGATGGGTCACCGCCGGGTTTCCCCTGTAACGATCAGTCGCTGAGCACAGTTCTTGTTGTTGTGAGTCGGTTCCGACCCATAGCGGCAAGAGAAGGAAGCACTGCACAGTCCTGCGCCACCCTCACCATGGTTCCTGCGCCCGAGCCCGTTCTGCAGCCACGGGGTCGGCCTGCCTCCTTGAAGGCACAGGGTTGATCCCCAATGAACTGCAGAAGCAGAGGGGAGCTGGAGGCGGTCTGGTGGGTGCTCGAGTCACCCCAGTTTCCAAGTGGTTTTCACAGTGACTCCTTGGCGGTCCTGTGAGTCATGCACTACCTGCAGGCAGACATGCGTGTGTCTTAAGCTACCTGGCAGGGTGCACGCAGCCACGAAGCACCGTCTGTCGAGAAAACACTGGATGCTTCCAGCTTGCAGCCCCCCTGACCCCCGCCCCCTGTCCCCAGTGTGCAGTGACCCAGAGCTCCCAGTATGAGCCTCCTCTGGTGAAAGTTTCCTGCCCTTTTCACTACGGGGAGTGGGGCTGGCAGGGAGCAGATCGAGAAACAAGGTTGAAAAGTGGTCTGATACCGCAGCCGTAGGATAATTATCTGATCATTCACAGTGAGACGACATTAGTAACGGGACCACCGGGTCTGCGGGGGACTGGAGTCCCCATTTAGCACCCTTGTCCCCACCGACCTGGTTAATGGCTCTGGGTGCCTCTGCGTCTCCTGCTAGGATCTTCCTCAGGCCCATGCTGCTTGGAGCCTGGCCTTTTCTGAATCCGTTGACGGTTGCAGCGCCAGCCTCCCCTGCACCTCCTTCCTCCTCCTCTTGCTGCCTCAAGAAGGGGGCTGTGCCCTGGAGGGATAAAACCCGAACCCAGGTCAGCGCCACCCAGGAGAGGACGACTCAGAGCGACCCTGTAGGACAGGGTAGAACTGCCCCTGTGGGTTTTCCAAAATGAATTCTCTGTGAGAGTAGCAGACTCTCCCCTGTGGTTTCTAACTGCCGACCTTGCCTGGAGCTGTGAGCCTGTGAATAACCACTACGAGTGGATCCACGAAAGAAAAAAAGCTGGTTTACTAGGAGGCTGGACATTGGAGCAGCCGCCCAACAACAAGGCGGTCTGGTGGGTGCTTGGGTCACCCCAATTTCCAAGTGGTCTTCACAGTGATTCCTTGCCGTCCTGTGGGTCACGCGCTCTATGCAGGTGGACACGCGTGTGTCTTAAGCTACCTGGCAGGCTGCACGCAGCCACGAAGCACCGTCTGTAGAGAAAGCACAGGGTGCATACAAGAAGGAGCCTGTCAGTCATTCTCTGGACGTCTGCTCTCCAGCTGACCGCTCCGTGTCCATCTCCCACAATGACCGGGAAAGCTGGAGGGGTCCACTTGACGCCGGGCAGGGTTCCAGGAGGAATTAACACCCCCAACTCAAGTTTGGTGAAATGGAGGAGCAGCGAAAAAGAGGAAGGCTCTCCCAGATGGATGGACACAGTGGCCTGGGTCCAGGCGTGGGACGATTGTGCGGTGACCCAGGACCTGGCCGCGTTCATCCTTGTGCTGTGCACAGGGTCGCTGTGAGTTGGAACGCACTCCATGGCCGGTGGCTGACAACGAGACGACTCAGGTAACACCCCTGGGAACTGTCAAAGCGCACAGTGATGAGTGTGTACGCCACGCGGCTCTCCTTCGATGTGGCAGACTCAACTCAGAAGGGCCGCGCCTTGCTCACATGCTTCCGGATCCCTCAGCAGCCCCTGAGACGCCCATTCCCAGTCTATTCTAACACAGCGCTTTATTTCACTGGGGCCCTGCTGGCACAGTGGGCTAATTGTTGGGCTGCTAGCCATCTGACTGGAGGTTCAAACACACCAGCAGCTCAGCAGGAGAACAATGAGGCTGTCCCTCCCACGAAGAGTTACAACCTCAGAAACCCTAAGGAGCAGTTGAGTCGGAATTGACCGGGTGGCAGTGCATTGGAATTTACTGGCCTCCTACTGGTAGCCTGTCAGGAGAGACCAGTCCCTGGAGAAGGACGCCATGCCAGGTAAAACCGAGGGGCAGCGACAAAGAGGAAGGACCGCCATGAGGTGGACGGACACCGTGGCTGTGACCATGGATTCACGCATGGGAACCCTTGTGAGGATGGGACGGGACGGTGCTTTGTTCTGCTGTGTGTGAGGGTAGAAACCAACTCCATGCCACCTAGTGGCTACTACAGCTGGTAGCCACTAGGGCCATTTCCAGTCTTGTGCTTGGCAATCATTGTAAAGGACTCCACAGGCAAACCGTTAGGAAGACCACCGGGGGCTCCTTTCTTACATGGCCAGTCTGGGTGGGGATGGGTGGGTGGGGGCGACCAACACTACTTTGAAAGGAGAGTGAGCGCATCGGGGGGCAGGGGGCGCAGATGGATGGGAAGGGACCAAGCAGAACACCCATGCGCGTCATGAGGAATGCGACCAGTGTCCCTGAGACTCTGTGACGGGCACCCCAAAGCTGGCAGACCTGTGCCCAAGAACAAGAACATATTTGTCGTGCTGTTGCTCGGTGCCACCGGGTCCGTCCCTGACTCAGGGCCACCCTGTGCATTACAGCATGAAGCACTGCCTGGTCCTGTGTCAGCCTGACGCTCGGCACTGTGTGTGAGCCCGGGTTGGACCCTCTGTGCCGTTC